GAATTGGTATCAGTTCGTTCTTTTTTGGTGCCCACTGCTCTGTCGGTTCTGCTATGTTTTTACTCTTCTCGTGTCTCCACCCGCCGATACGATCTGAAAACTCTATTAGGTTCTTAGCTCGTCTTAAATGCTCCTTCCGGATGACGAAGGCATCTGTTTTAACACTCCATACTCCTATATGGTTTTCTGTTAGCTTGGTGTAGTCGGTGTGCATTTTAAAGTTATGGTGTTGTAATAACAATTCTTTGATGTATATATATCCGTTTCGTAAGGTGGCTTTATCGGTCACTGTTAAGCAATAATATGTTCTGTCCATCTCTTTTTCTATGAAATCTGTCTCGCCGTTAGGCAACTCAATCTCATCAACATACATACCCGAGATTCTGTTAATCTTTCCTCCGATCTTGTTCTGATAATATAAGGCTTCCTTTAGAGTATCAAAGGCATAACTTTTATGGGCTTTGTTCGTGTTCTTCTCAAGTAGCCCGAAGTTAACATTGGCTATTAGTTTTTTGATTCTGATGTCTTCGGCTGGTTTGTCAGAGATTTCTGTCTTCCATAACTCCGCTGTGATCTTCCTATAATCCACCTTATACACTCTGGACGGTTGCTTATAATAAAGAATCTTACATTGCTTCACGAAGTGCTTTAAAAACATACCATATACTAAAGTGTAGGCTTTTTTGAAAAATAAACTCCGCTTGGTGGGCTTGACCAAGTAGAGAGTGAGATCGTGAAAATCTGTCACTGTGCCACTGAAGGGCTTCCATATATCAAACTGAGTGAATACCGGTATCTCGGCGATCTTATTAAAAGCAGAAGTGTAAGCTTTTCTTACATCTATCTCCGTAGTCACTTCTGGGGTATAAAAGTATTTGTCGTCTTTGTCTGTCTTAGGGGTATATAAACAATAATGTTTATTTATTTCACCCGTTGGGGGGATGGTGCGACACTCCTTGAAGATTTCAACGTCAATCTCGTTATAATATGACTTGTGGGTCGGCTTGAAGAGGGCAGTGTTAAAGTTAAACATCGCTTTAGACATCTTGTTGTAGATCTGCTCCGTTCTCACGCAGATGGAACCATCTATAGAATTATTCACTAAGTTCTGGGTCTTAACCTTGTATTTAATCTCTTTGTGGCTCTTGTTGTTTATCTTGATCTTAAACTTGAAGTTAAGTTCAGATACGAACCCTGCACTAAATCTAACCTGTGGCTCATATCCTGCCTGTTTGCTAAGATAAAAGAGATGAGACAGATCGTAACCATTCTATACCAATGTATATTCGCTGTGTTCTGTGTATTTCCGGATGTCGTCTAGGGATGTGATCATTTTACATTCAACTGGCTCCTCCTTCTCGTTAAGGTGATAATCTGAAGAAGCCTTAACAGATATATTATAATTACTGCTTTTTGGTATCATCTGCCGTAACATATTCATATTATCACTGACTGTGTAGATGTGATTGTTCTTCACTATAGCGTATAAGGCTGGGATGTGATGGTTTCGCTTTATTGGGTCGCGCTTATAAATGAGATTCTCAAACGTATCATATATTCTCACTTGCAAGTTAAAATGTTCAAATACCTTCGCCATGTCTGTTATAGACGCCCCTTTTGTTGTAAAATCTTCTTCCGTCTTATTTATGATTTTAAGGATGGCTTCTTTTGTGAGTTTGTTCTTCTCTCTCTTCTTGTCTCCCATAAGGGTATCCTTATAATAATCCATCAAGGTGTTAAACCAGCACTCGTTCTTAACATAATGCTCTACTTTAATGGCTTCCTTAAAGGCCTCATACTGTGGATCTAAGGGTGTCTGAATATATCTGTGATACATGCTGACATTCTCTGTGTTTGTTAGTTCTTCGTCTTGTGGCTTGAAATCATCGGCGTTATCTACCCTTTCGGCGTAATTAACTTTAATACAAGCAATGTAACCTTCGGCATAACCGACATCTGCTTTAAAACTGTCATCTGTCATCAATAACATCTTGAGCCTATGAAATGTTTTTGTGTCGGCCTTCTCGTCTCTAAATATTCGTCTCCCCGCTAGGTTTTCAACCCGCGGTGTTGTGGCTACATTGGCTGATAGATCACGCATATAAATAGGAACGTATGCCCTACCCCTGCTGTCTCTGAAAGATACTGATAATCCTTGGTGCGATTCTGTCTTCAGTTGGTATAAATGGACATTGATTGAATATTTTCTTGGTTTTCTTGGGTTGGTTCTTCCCGTTCGTTTGTTGTCTTCTTTTGCTTGTGCCATTCTCTGACCTAGCTGCTGTTTGTCCTTGTGCTTGTCGTATAGTTTATTATATTCGTTTTCTGCTTTAGCTTTTTCTTTGTCTGTTTTTGCTGTGGTGAGTTTCCTGATTAAATTGTCTGCTGTGGTGAATTGGGCGATCTTACGATCTGAATATAAGCTAATTATATTTTGAACTTTTGTTCTGGTGGCTTGGCTGATGCGGCTTCTTCTGTTGTTATAAAATGTTTGTAGTGCTTCCGTATTACGCTTAATGGCTTTGGACATATACTAATATAAATAAACTATATATTATTAAATCTTTAAGTGAAATTTTCCAAAGATGTTTTTTTAATTATTGAATGTTTTTTTAATGTATAGAAATATGTCTAAAGACAAAAAATAACATATAGTATAGTATAGTATGAGTAAAAATCCCGAGGATATGACAATGGATGAAAGCAAAGAGCAACTCGCCATATACAGCAGATTGTATTACAACAAGCGTAGGAATGATGAAAAGTATATGCAAAAGAAACGAGAATCTGCACTGCGACACAATCAGAGAAAGAAGATCAAGGAGTAGGAAGAAGCTAACAATATCAAACTGAACCCCGATGAGATGACAGAAGAATTGCTATCTGAAATAATGAATGCAAAAAAGCCCTTTAAAACAAAGCGCGGCACACCCAAATATGATATGAGCAAGTTCAAGATCATAAAGCCGATGGATGGCGAATGATGATTTAATTTAATTATCAAATCATTATTTTCTTTTGTTTTTATATGAGCGAGAAACAAAAAATATCAATGATGTGTATTTTGATCGCGCGGGGTTTGGCTCAAAAAGCCGGACTTTAGAAGAAGCACGGGAGAAAGATAAAACCATCACAATGTCTGATATTAACGAGTTTTTTAGGAAGAATGTTGATCAAAAGCGAAAGCCCGTCGGTTCAAACAGCTTTGTCGCCCCGCATTCAGCATATGAGTATCAGATGGATTTATTTTTTTATCAACGACTTGAAAGATCAAAAATTTAGTGTAGGGATGTTAATGATTGATATATTTGATAAGTTTATGCATGTCGCGGCTATTAAAGGCAAGAAAGAGGAAGATTTAGCGAGTGGGATGATTGAATGCTTAAATAAGATGGGAAAGAAACCAAAAATAATTTATACAGACGACGAGGGAGCAATGAACAAGGAGGCAATACAAACGTATTTACATGAACAGAACATAGAACATCACAGGACTAGGGCGCATCCAAATTTCAGCGAGAGGGCCATTAGGACGTTCAAAGATTTATTATATCGGCGTGTTGAGGCGGATCAGAAAAAGGGTAAAGACAATATCCAATGGACCGATTATATTTTTGAAATATTATTAACATATAACAATAAAATGAAACATTCCGCAACTGGCTTCACCCCAACGGATGCGAGAAAACCGAGCAACGAATTAACAGTTAAACTGCATTTAAATATGAATGCTAAACGAAATCGGGTCTATCTCGAGGTTGTTGTTTCAGACCAAGTGAGAATTTTCAGAAAGAAGAAGCCGAATGAAAAAGAACGGGTAGGAAATTTCAGCAAGAATGTGTTTACTGTGGAAAAAGTTGATAAGAAGTTGGGACAGAGCTACTATTTTGTGGAAGGGGTGGATCGGGCTTATTTACGCTTTGAGTTGTTAAAAGTCTAGTCCTTTAATATTTAAACGCAGTGCCCAAGTGGTCGGGTGTTTTGCAACTTGACTTGTACGTCTTTGGACGATGTGAAGCTTGAAGAGCAGTGTGCATTTTAGAACCCGGGTGGTGCTTATGCTATTGATTGGAAGCGCCCCTCTGCAGGACCCTCTACGTCTTTGAGCTGCAATAGGTCTAAACGGTATGACTTTTCTAAAGTTTGCATAAGCGCTCGTTGGTTGATAACAGCTATTTTGCATTGCACGTGGGAGCGGATCAATGTGTGAGTTGATTTGCATGTAGACCAAGTGTCAGGCTTTACACTGCCACGGTATTTCGGTGTGTTGTTGCGCACTTGTTCTGATCTGTTTGCAGGTTTGTAGCACACGCAAGCGGCAGGTGAGAACGGTGTGTAGCCAGTTTATGCATAGCAGAAACACCAACAGCTGTAGCTTCGCGATGGTTCGGAGTCATCAATGGCCTCGTGTTGCAGGACTGGTGTGGTTCTGCATGGCTTGGCTGTTTCTGGCATCCTACAAGGGTTCCATTCCAGACCAGAGCTTTGCGATGGGTTCGAGCAGATGTGGTTTGCGACGGCAACGGACGCCTTGTCGCGCGGCTTCTTGGATATCAGCGCAAGGCATCAAAGAAATCTATACAACAGAAGAGTTCGAGAAACAAGTGTACGCATCCCTCGACGGGGGAGATGACCTCCTGCGGCTGCCGTTCTGCGAAATCCAAGCTACGGAAGAGGATGTTCAGAAGGCAAAGGGTGCTTTCGAGAGCGGCTTCGCTACCCAACCTGGGTTCAATTGGAACACGGGCAGGAAAGGAAAAGGCAAGAAAAAGGGGGTCCGTGGTGCTGCCCAGGCATCAAATCCCCAATGCGACCTGTACTTGAAGAAAGATGCTCCTCCAATGCACGTGGCAACCCTCTTCAGACACACATGCTTCAAGAATGTCAGCCTCTCTGGTGTCGCAAGCCGTTGAGAAGACCTCACTGCTTCAGTTGTTCTGGCGGAGATCGCGCAGACGCCTGCGAGTTTGCGAAACAAGCTATGGCAGCTCGAAAGAGCAATGCGCTTTGGTCCGCAGGAAATTCAACAGCCAGGTTGCTGCTTGGTGTGCATAAACGGAGAAGGTGCAGAGTTCGAGTTAGCCGCCAATCTTGCAGCAACGGGGCTGCAACAACTGGGTGACGGCGCAAAACTGAATTCTGTTCCGGTTTTTGCGATATGGACCCCTTATAGAAATGTCTACGCATCGATCTTGGATCTGCGTAACAACATCGACGAGCTGAAGAATGACACTGCAAAGATCGATGCCAAGATCGACGAGACAAATGCCAAGACAAATGCCAAGATCGACGAGCTCAAGACAGAAATTCAAACCATGCAGCAAGCAATCCTTGCTGCTATCAGTAAAGGATAGGCAATGCACAACCGTCCTCTCGACACTGGGACTTCTTTGTGCGAAAACAATTGCAATCGCTCGTCAGGTGTTATACTGTTTAGATACATCGACTCCATGAAGCCTGATTGATTGCTCAATTCAATCATATTGCGCTGTCGCGAGCTTGATGTTCTGGAGCAACAACGTGGACCCCAATCCCTCTGCCAAATTCTAGAAGGAACCCCTCGCCCCTTTTGAGTAATAATGCCACCTTAGAGAATATAGATGAGGTTATGGTTATTCCTAAAATTGTATTGATAATGGGGTAGTAGTGGTGATAAATCGGTGAAATTTAGGGGGAAGTGTAGGAATGATCATCTAATGGGGGAAGTAGTAGTGATATATCGGTGAAATGTAGGGGGGAGACTGGGGGGAGTATAGGAATGATCATCTAATGGGTTGGCGGTGGCATTATTACCCAAAAGGGGCGAAGTGGGTCCTAACTAAGTAAGTGTTAAGTAATCTTAGTAGCTGAGTGGACACACTTTACACTTTTTGGGATAATATTACCCAACACAAAACTGAAAGAGTAATTACACTGTTTGGGGCTTATGAATTCAGCAAGTAAGTAATGGCTTGGCGGAAAGTTTAGAGTTCAGATGTCAGAAGTGGACCTGCTTGAATGGGTGCTTGAAGGGTCATGGGATAAGTATGCCACTCAAGTGTTTCTGACCGAGTTTGAGTTATGAACATACGTATACAAGCCCTTGAGACCACATAACGCCCAAAAGACACCCACATTGGGGCCCCATAAACCCTAAACCCCCAAACGCCTACCCCTAAACCCTGAACCCCTGAACCCCAAACCCTAAACATAAACCCGTAAACCCAAAGCCTCGAACCCCCAAACCCTTAAACCCCTAAAACGTCAGGGTTGAGGGTTCAGAGGTTTATGTTTCAGGGCGTAAGCCCTCAGCCCTGTAGACACCCTAACCCAAAACCCTAAAGACTGTGGGCTTTCAGGGCAGCTATATTTATAAACCATATGAGGGGACTTTTAAGCCTACTTATAACTACCGGTCAAACTCCAAGTAGGGTCCAGGTAAGCCCTATACCCTCAACCCTAAACCGTTATATGGGTGGTTGTCAACATGATGGTCCCTTTTCGGGTCCTTATTATGCGGCACCTGATATTTAGGCTACCCCAAAAAGGGGCCGTAGTTTTGACAACTACCCATATTTGGGGACTTCTAACCCTACTTATAACTACCCATGAACCTCGTTCAGGTTAGCCCTAAACCCTAAACCCAAACTTTTATACAGACTTCAAAACAGAAACCGTTACATAGAAACTCACGTCTTTGCTTTCAGGAGGAGCCCAAGCAGCCAGCAAAAGCTGCGCCGGAGCCGGCCGGTGAGGCCAAAGAAGAGGAGGCGTTGCAGCACAGGGCTTGAGGGTTTGGGGTTTAGGGTGCTTGTAGGGATTATAGGGTTTAGGGCTTACAGTTTTCATAGGGTTTCGGGTTTATAGGGCTTCGAGCTTATAGGGTTTAGGGTCCGTTTAGGGTTTAGGCGTCGCAGAACGGGACTTTCGGGGTTTCAGGGGCTTAGGGTCAGAGGTTCAGGGGTTAGAGTTAGGGGCCTGGGTCAGTGGTTTAGGGTCCCAGAGACTCCAATATCCCTTAATTAAGGAATATTCTTTAAATCATATTAGGGGATCCTATCATAGTTCAAGGAATATTATTTAAATCATATTAGGGGATCCTATCATAGTTTAAGGAATATTCCTCAATTAAGGGATATTGGAGTCTCTGGGGTTAAGGGTTCGGCCTTCGGCCTTCTTTGCGATTTTGCTGTAGGGCTTTGGGTTGGCATTCTTACTAGGCAGCGGTACCCTGCACCCGGCTTTGGGATTTTGGGCTTCGGTGTGGATTTGGGGTATCTCCCGAAGATCGAAACCTTTTAGTTGGATGTAAGGATACCCTCCCCTATAGATCCCTGGCCTTAAAGGAACGATTCCTTGGTGGAACCCTTAAGGATTTGGGGTACGTTCCTGAATTTATAGGTTCGCGATTCGCTGGGTTGGAAATGTATTTGACGGAGGGGTTTAGGGGTTAAATCAAAGATCCGATTGTGTCGAATTCACATTGGTGCCCCCGTTTTTTTGGCACGTCCTCACCCACAGCTTTCAGGTTGTGGATGCCGAGAACAATGCACTCATGCTGCACATGCCAAACGGTGCCGCAACCTCGGCGCCGATGGTATTGGAGATCACCTGGCAGAAACTTCACGTTTCAAAGTTGGAAACGAGGGGGGAAGCACAGACATTAGGCTTTGGGTTTAGGGTCCAAGTGTATGGCTTATGAAAATTATGCCAGCACCTGTACCTGCGCCCGTAGACACTCCGGCAACCCAGTGCCGGCTCAATGAGAAAGTAAGCATTGTAAATGCCTATGCCTAGACTAGACTCCCCCGCTACCCTCTAATCTACTTTAAATGGGCACTATTTGAGGATCATAAGCTCTCTATGAACGGGCAGTTGTGGGCTCCTGATGCACGAACCTCATTAGAGGCCCCCCGCCTTCGTGCATCAGACCCCTTCCGAAAACTGTGGGTGGTTCATTTAGCAAAGGGGAAAAGGAGGGACCCTTAATGGGGACCCCTACCCTATAATGGGTTATATAATGGGTATATAATAGCTATATTAAGGGTATATGCCTAGGGGTCCTTATTAAGGGTCCTTCCTTTCACCCTTGGAAGTTAAGATTGAAAGTGGCTTGTCTAGGGTTTGGGGTTTAAGGTTTAGGGGATCCTGGAACATCTTCCAGAAACGATTCCAACATCCATAGGTCTCAAGTATTTTGGAAGGTTCGCATATTGCCAAGCATGACAAACAGTCTACATGGAACATAGCCTGAAACTGATAGCCACGAATGCACAATTCCTGAACAGCTAATGCCCCCAGACCCTGAACCCCCGGATTCCGTGAACCCCCAGACCCCATTGTATGCATGCATGCACGAATGTCTGTCTGCAAGGTTGATTGTCTGTCTCCGTCTCTGTCTCTGTCCGTGTCTCCGTCTCTGCCTGTAGGTATATGGGAGCTTCCGAAAATAGGGGACCCTGATATGGTACCCTAAATAGTAGGATCCTTATTATAAGGACCCCAAAATAAGGTACCCCTATTTTCGGAAACCCCCATATATACATACAAACACAGATAGCATGCGGGATCTCCTTAGTTTGCGATAACAGCCGCTCGTGGAATATTTTAAACAACATTATCTTGTAACCTGTCCTCAAACGCTGTTCGAATTATTCCGGCACGTATATTGAACCAACAAACCCCCAAAGCCCAAAGCTCAAGCACCTCCCGAACGGAAACCCCGCAGCTGTTTAATCTATACAGAAGCCTTACCGGAGCCCTAAACCCCCAAACGCTAAACCCGGAGCCTATAGAATCCAGAAGCGCCGATTCCCCAAAGCCTCTAGCGTCCTTACAGTAGCCTTTATGGTATTCCCAACAGATTCCTCATGGAACCCTCACCCGCCAAACCCTGAACCCCCCTCTCAAAAAAAAAGAACCTATAAACCCTAAACCCTAAAGCCCATAATGGAAGCCTTCACGTCGAGAGGCAGAGGATCCGGAACTTCCGGCACTCTTCGACGGCGATGGGGCCGAAGCTGCAGGCAGCGAGGCGCTTTGATCTATGGTAGTTCGCAGGTTTAGGGTTTAGGGTTGAATTAGGGGGTAGGCTTTAGAGTCTAGGGCTTAGAGTTTAGGGGGTTAGGGTTTAGGGCTTAGAGTTTGGGGATCTATGGTAAAAGCCATAATAAAGGTTCGAATTATTTGGACGCTTCAGGGCTTCATTGTCATGGTGAAAGCCATAATAACGTTCGAACATTTAGGGTTTGGGGTTTGGGGTGTCAGATTAACGTGATTCAGAGTCTGAGATCAGGTTTTCGAGTTTCAGCCAGTTTCAGTGGATGGAGTGTGTAGCATCCCAAAGATTCTGATCTCCCGAAGTTTATGGACTCTTCCTTATGCTATACCTTAACCTCCCAAAACCTACTTTTTTGTAGGGTTCCTATATTTTCAATATTCGGGTTGATAATAAGAACCTACAAAAAAGTAGGGTTTTGGTAGTTTAAGGTAGAGCTTTAAACTTTGCACGCCATCATGCCGGGCATCATTCAGGCCAGCCTTAGATCGCCGAGTCAGCTATCTCTGGGCAGCGCAAGAAACAATATCAGAATGGGGTTTAGGGTTTAGGGTTGAGGGTTTAGGGAAGTCACTGCAACTTGGCGATGAGGAACGTTTACCGGCTTTTCTCTGCATGTGCAGTGCGCAGCACACATCAAGGTGAAGTCAGTGCAGTCGTTGCTGAAGGACGCTTACGTACGGCGCATATCGAACAGGAGAAAGAAATCTTGCACAAACAAACACCCTGACTGCATGTTCTCGCGCTTACCGTCCAGGCTTGAGGGCACCCTCAACCCGCAACTCCAGCCGCTAAACTACACCCTAAATCCCTAGGTTGATAAATCCCTAAACTTTGAATCCCTAAACCCGAAATCCAATCCCCGAACCTTTAATCCCCAAGCGCGAAATCCCTAAACCGTAAATCCCACAACCTTACATCCCTAAACGCTGAATCCCTGAGCCCCTAAATCCCCGAACCCCTCAGTCCACCCCCAAACCGCTAAATCCCTAAAAAAGAAACCCCCAAACCCTATACCCCTAAATCCCTAAAAAGAAACCTCCAAACCCTAAACCCTTAAAACCCTAAATCCCTAAAAAGAAACGCCCAAACCCTAAACCCTTAAATCCCTAAACCTTACCAGGAGCCGTCCAAAACCGTGACGGTCCGCTCATACGGCTTGGGGAGCTGGACGGGAAGGACTCCGAAGGAGGCCGGAACGAGAGGATGCTTAGGGCTGAGGGTTTAGGGTTCGGGGTTAGGGTTTAGGATTTAGGTATATAGGGTTCAGGGCTTGGGATTTAGGGTATATAGGGTTTAGGGTTTAGGGATGTTGTA